AAGAGTTCCAGGTTTCTAATAATGCACTGATGCCGGTAGGCAATTTATATAAATTGTACTTGTTTTTTTTCGAAAAACCCTTACTTTTTTGATATTGGAAACATTATGCCGTAATTTATTTAATGATTCGAAATCAGTGACTCTTTGACTGCTTGGCACAGTTGTACACACCAATTGCTCTTTTGTTAATAACTTTTCACTCAGTTATTGAAATTTGTTTTTCTTGAAAGTAATTGATATATTAGGATCATAGCGAAGACATAATATCAAGAAGACTGGCAACTTTGCAATACTGGCAACTTTGCCAAAATCCAAGCGACAGATACAATGGCGCTGTGCTTGAGTGAAAGTGGAAGCAACGCATAGAAAAATGAGCAAATACACAAACCTTTCTTCTGAGGATATAATCTTTGCAATCAAATTCGTTCGAAGCATTTACCTTTGAGCGGCAGATGACGCGATTGTACTTGTCTCATAGCGTTCGTATGAGAAAATGGAAGAGTTGCCAGTCTTCTTGATTCGTTGTCTCCGATCATAGTTTACTATAGATATGCAAAGAATAGGTAAATCTTAACATGAATTTTTACACTTGAAGTCCGAAATGTGCAGCGAGCATTTCTCACTTAATTTTTACAACGCAAAAAATAATGCAGTTTATTACTAGAATAAAAATCTACTTTTCTATAACAATCTTAATTTCTATTTAAAAAAAACATGTTTCGTCAACTGTGTGCAAAGTTACTAGCAAATGAGAAGTTCGTGACCAAAAGTGTGTATCTCAAGCATGAAGAATGCCACTTAAACGATAATGACTTGAATCGTTACAGGCCTATGACCGTTTGTTTGGATGCTGACATTATATGTGTTTGAGCATCAGGTCACTTAAATTGATTTTTTTGCAACAAAACTGTACTTTTTTTGTAATACTCGTTAAGATATTCATTGAAGTGTCACGATGAAATGCTTTCAAGTTTTCTCAGATTTTTTACACCGTAAACTTTATGGATGGGTGCTAGCAACGCAAGTTTCAATTTCACCCTGGTGATCAATTTACCCTCGTATTCTTCCACTACGGTCCTGTTACAAATGCCATTCGAATCAATTCTATTCATCCGATAATGGCCTTTATTAGTCACATCACTCACATTCATCACCCAGAGAAAATTAAGCCCCGGAAAGGCACCCGGAAGAATTTTTGTGGATCTCTTCTAGTAGCTTGGTACGATACAGCTCATTAGACGGTGCTGCATGGTTGATTGACCGCAATAAAGCTTTTCGTTTATCGCAATCTACATGTTCGTCGGAATCGACGTTGTTTTTTTCCTTTTTAGACTCGTTCTTTCCGTATACATTCGTCAGTCCGTCCACCCATCAGGACTTGTTTTGCCATTAGCCATACATTGTGCACGCACCTTTCATTATTCCATTCTAAATGGTTTCCTCGATATCCAATACACGTCCATTACTCACACCAGCGCGTCTGAATTGGGCAGTCTATTTTTGTTTGGGGAATATCGAACGGAAAAAATATCCTCATCATCCCGAACTCATCAATAATTCATTCTATATTGGAGAACAGTTCATAATCCACCCCCGGTGTAAAATGGCCCGTCGTTGCTTTCCCATTACTAATTCTGGGATTTTATGCGCCAGAATACTAGTTCAAGTACTGAAAGAGCAGCGGGGCAATTTTACCACAAGGGGTGCGTTTTAGACCATCATACCCTACATGGATTCGTTGCTATCGAAGCGGACGTTATGGCTTTCTCACGTCGAAGACGAAACATGGTATCCCCCAATCAATCGATAGGTCATATTTATCATTCTTTATTATGAGTTTGTGGTACGTGTTTGGACCTCTTGTGTGTGCTTCTCCTGTGCCTTGCTTCGGTCGTCAGCAACATGCGTTAATTTGGATCGGAGGTCAACGAGTTTAAGCACCTCCCAGCCTCAGCCTTCACATCAACAGCAACGGTTTTACATTCATCGTACTCTGCTCTGTTCGGACCGGTGAGGCACTGGCAGTAGTTTGAGCCAGGTAAACAGCTTACGAACACACTGGCTACTACGTGGTGACCTTGTACTGGGAAAAAGAGCTGTTGGCTGCTGTGGAAATTAAATGGTGTGAGATTGGTATGATAGACTCGTTTTCAACTTAAATTTTGTAAGCTAGTATTTACGATTTTAGGAAAATCTAAGTCATTGACAACTTCATAACGAATTTTGGGAAAAGAATTCCATGAACTGACAGAATCAAACAAATGTCTTTTATATCAACCAAGCTAATAACAAATTTGGATGTTCTGTTTTTCAATTTTAAGAATAAAATCAATATCAATTTTAAGAATAAGATCAATTGCAAGATTTATTATATTCTTCTTCTCGGGCCAGATCAGCGAGCTTGCAAAACGGAGGTGTTTTGCGTCCATCGACTAAGCATTAGAAAACAGCTGAAATGAGGAAACATCAAGATAGCATTTGCAAATTTTCTAGACCAGCGTTTCTCATTCTATGGGTCGTGACCTAGGGGCAAGACAGCTTTTGCTCATGAGTTAAAACCGAGTTAATTTTGAGTAACTCTGAGTAGCTCGAGTTATTCAAAATTCAAAACAAGCAGACTCAGCAACCATGTTTTTGTTGTGCTCATTTCCCAGATGTAAAATAACAATATCATCTAACCGCGTTTCATACCGGATAATCTCTCGCTAGTTTTGTAATTGTTCGTCCTCCGAAAAATAGTATAGTCCATGGTTGCTTTCTATTTTCAGATTGTAAATGAGTCTTCTAGTCGCACATCTATGAGTACTAACTTGAAGAAATTTAGCTTGCCTGGTCCTCGACTGAAACAACTACGGCACTCACAATATTACAACGATTTGTACAGTTCAATGCAGTTGTAGTTAGAGATTATATTCGATTATTTTATTTTATTATTGCAACATTGTATATTCTATATTATGAATTAAAACCACAATACGCCTCATTAGTGTACCATGGCTCGACGACAAACACCATTGTTTTCAGAAGGTTTTTCAATAAGGAATTCCATGTGGCCGATGGTAACAATTTTCAAATTCAAGCATGCGGATGGCAGACTTAATTTTATAATCAGACCAATCCCTTTGGGTAGAAATCTTATTTATTGTTGCTCTCCCATGTTACTGACTACAGTTTTTGTTTGCTATTAATTTTGACCAAACTGTTACAAAAATATGCATCAATATTTTTAAATCCGTGCCATATGATTTGGTATTCAGGTTCTTTTTATAACAGTAGCAGTGAAACTGCCATGCAAGTCCACCACCAAACTGCTATTTCACTCATCACAAGTACTCGTTGGGTTGCCGTCGTGTTTATTCAAACTGATGACAGTTGACCTCCTGCTTTCACTTGTTGACATAGGACTACTTTGATCACTTTTGAGTAATTATGAGTAACTCAAATTTACTCGATATATTAGCTCGGAGTACAGCTGGTTTGCCCCTAGGTCGTGACCCATCGGTGGGTCGTAGGAATTCAGGCAACTTGATCATAAAGTCTCATCTCTGTATTTGAAATTGCATACAGAATTTATCAGATTTTTAAATTATGCTGGGATACTCAATTTCAAGACCATTTTGGCATTATTGGAAAGTCTAGGCAATTTTGACTTATTCGGACCATTTTTGGCATTTTTAGGGACATTTTAACGTTTCATGATAATTATGAGTTGCGATTTTCAGACGGGCTATGATTTTTAAGCCATTTTCGCGTTTTTAACGCAATTCTACACACTTAATTTTTTTCGCCGAGATTCCAACAGCCGAACAGTTCTGCAATTTATATCGCTGAGGTTCAGTAAAACAATTGCCGAGACTCAGCTAACAAATAACATTTTGCTGAGATATCAGCTAACAGACAGATATTTTGCAGAGATATCAGCATAAGTAAATGCCGAGGTAATCGGCTGTAGGAGATTTTACCGAGCTAGATTAAGTGTGTACGCCGCTTGAATCTTGTTTAACGATTGTGAGGCTTTTTTGGCGTTTTGAAGTTTTCTAGGTTATTTCCAAGGACCTGACACGCTACCATCTTTTCGTAGTCGGCATAAAAACGTGAACACACATCAATCCAATAGCGAATTCGTTTTTTTTTTTATTGGGGTTGGAACCAGAGCGAAACCGAACTTTTTGCCAGTGCGAACCTCAACCTGAGGTAGGCTGTAAAACAAGCGATCTAACGGACACTGAAAAAAGTTTTCACTTAGTTTCTATTAGGAACGTACATAATATTTTTCCAATAACAAAAATAATTATTTTTATCTGAATATCACATAGCATAAGAAATTCTATATGTGAAATCATATAGATGTCATTGGACACATAACGTTCATGTGATTTGGTGGTGAAATTTCCAATTATCGGATCACATGATATGTGAAATTCACATGGATGTTTTCCACTGGTTATGTGATTTATTTTATGAGTGGAGGTTTATCAGAAAAAACAAGCAGACCAAATCTTGTTACCCGATCCAGGTTGGAACTGAATCATAAACGAATTCGCTATAAGCGATTGAGTTGTCTGAGGCTCCAAATTTTGATCTCATGGCCCATTTGTCCGAATGACCTATCACTACCACCCCACCCGCTCCAAAACATATTGAATTCTGTTCCGAATTTCATTTATTCTCCAACAACTCCAGCCTCCTCAAAGCGAACAACAATCAAAACATCAGATCACACAATCGCGATCATTATTTGCTGAATGCCAGGGTTGTTACCCTTGCTTGCGCTTCACTCGAGTGCGCCTCCTCTTCTCACGGTGTTGCGCAGCAATTATTGTTGACATTGAACCGGCAAAACTTAAGCTTTTCATTCTCGCACCGGGTGGTTTCAGCAAAGTGGCAATTCACTGTCATATTTTGCACAATATTTGTTTCCATCTGTTCTTTCTGTTATGACCGGATATGTCGTTTTACTATGTTACTAAAACAATTTTTCTCTCTATTTCTACTTTCAGGTGGCGTTCGTAGATTGCGGCTGAAAAGTTGTTGCAACGAGCACTAGTGATTTTACTTTAACCCTAGAATAACAACCTGTAACCTGTGCCTTACAACACTGTAAATCTTCGATATATAAACACCCACATACATTGCATAACAACAGCGAAAAAGAAAAAAATCATGATGCTAACGGTGATTGGCGCTACCTCCCTCTGGTTGATACTGATCTGGGCTGCACTGCTGGTATTCTTCAGCCCGGTGCTGTTTGTGGTCAGCGTATGTCTGCCGGAGCTTCCCCTGCTGCTGATCCGGCGGCTGCACTACATACCGTTCGATGCGGTTTAGCGACGAGGAGGGCCACTGATGGTACTCGCTCACTCCCCTGCCATCCCTTATCATTTACCTTCATAGTCCCTATTAAACAATACTACTGGAATGCCAAAATCTCGTCAATAGTGCGTAAAATGTGATTTCCCCTATGTATATACACACACACACATAACGCAGTGAGAAGTCACGACGAAACAGGAGACTGCTGTATAATTTATTGTAACGAGTATTGTGATAAGATTAAATTATTGCCACTCTTTTTCAATCATAAAAAATCGACTACTTTTGTTTCTATTTTCTATGAAAACAAAAAACTCCTCCAAGCTAACCGCATCGTCCCAGAAGCATCAGCATATGATTTTTTTAGGGTCCCCTAGTTTGTTTTTAAAGATTTTTTATGTTTTTTCTCGTACGGGTACCAATAGACGCATTTATGTCCTGGAAAATGGTTAGGAACAAATTGGAAATTTGAGTTCAAAATTTGTTTGTCAGCACCTTTTCTGTGGTTGATTGTAAGCTCATTTTTAGGATTAGGATGATTAGATGATAAGATTACCTTTTGTAACTGTATATTTTGAATATTGTATTGTATCGCAATAAGACAGACAAAGACAATAAACGTATTTATATAATGAAGATTGGGAGTGTTTTGCGTTTTACTTGAGGTACTTTTAAGCACTCTACATTTTGTGTACATCCCATCTGGCCTAGGTGAATTTAGGTTCGGACTCGACGCCTCTGTAAGCTCCCTTGAATAAGCCTTAATCAATATACGAATTTGAAAAAAAAAAACAGAAGAGAAAGCCATAAAGCTAACTTTTTATTGTTCAAAGATATTTTAAATTTTACTCCGATGGTACCTTTCATTCAAGTAACTTTCACAACATATAATGTACCTGTATATTCATTGGACTTCTCGATGAAAATTTCAAAATCTCCTATCTGCTTTGATCGATTCTTTTCATCGACTTTCTCTTTTGAGAACCACTGATATGAAAACAGATTTCGCGCTATTCTTACCAAATAGTTTGATAAAGAAAGGGCTTATCTAGCGTCCAAAAACGTTAAATACATCAGGGAAAGGTTTTGCAGCTTAGTTATCAACGAAAGTGAAAGTCGATGAAGAGAATCGATTAATGCAAATATGACCACTTGAAATGTTTATCTAGAGTTATGCAATAAGATTTGAAATCCATAAAAATCAGAACAGATCATCAGAGTTAGAGTATAGAAACGACTTAACTTAAACCGATGGCAACATATCAAGAAGAAGCGCCGCGTCCTGCTAAGTTCAGACTATGATGACCCCAATGGTTGAGTGGTAAGCGTGACTGCTCTAGTATTGGGCAAGTTTAAAAAAAAAAAAAAATCGATCTCACTTAATCAATCAACCGTGGGGCGTGGACCCCTGCTAATCTGAACGACACTTCATGCATATCAACGGTATTCATTTTTAATTTGAATCCTATGAACACCAGAAAAGTGTGTTTTTGGTAGCCTTAAACGCTGTACAGACTGGAGAGTTATAACATGTTATAACGGTTGTCAAATAATTGCAACACAGAAAGCACCATCAAGATAGCGCAATAGCATGTTATAACTATGTAAACTGAACGTACTATTATAGTAGGTTCAGACTACAGAGTTATAACATGTTATTGAGATTTTCACGTCCGGTTGTATTGGTACGATATGTGAGAGCGTGTTAGTGAATATCCTAGGATATTGCTTCCGCTAGTGTGCGTGCGTTAAACGTTACTAATCTTTATAGCGCTATCTTGATGGTGGTTTCTGTGGTGCGATTATTTTACAACTGTTATAACATGTTATAACTGCTCAGTCTGGCCAGCGCTTTATGTGTTGTTTTGTATGAAACGTTGCATATCTTTAGGCGTTATCCTCATAGACAATAGGATGTGGAATATGATGTTTATTTCCATTTCCATTCCATTTCCAAAAATAATCCAGGGCAAAGAGTCCAAATATGATCCAACTATTGAACATTATTACTTTTTCTATAAATTTTGCATGGCTGATAGATGTAATGCAATTTATCTATATTTATAATAACCAACATTTTCCTGCATTGATTAAGTAATTTAATTGCATTTTGAACGAGTACTGGCCCAACAAACAATTTTAGTTGCAAATTAGCTTATACCAAGGGACATCCCACTCCAAACTTCGTATTTCTATCAATATACCTGTGTGGATTGAATTCTTATCTGATTTTGTGTACGATATTAAAATTAATTATATTAACAGCATTAACTGCACGCCACTGATCGTATCCAGCGTGACTCGTTGATCCAGTCCATACTGTTTGCTTCGTTTGTATGCTTTGCTCGAAGAAAATTTGATTGAGAAACCTATTCACCCAAAAGAAACCGTAAGAGTAGGAGAGCATGCGTTAAGTACTTCTCGCGAAAATTAATCCTCCATTCCCATTGGTCACGTTTTTCTTATACGTAATGCATTGCTTGTCACACATTTATAAACTCCCTCCCCCCTAAGCGCGTGACGTACTTAATAGTTGCTCCTTTAGAGGCTTGAACTAGTGGTTAGTTACATTGATGTGGCAATATTGGGGGCCTGCTTATTAAATGGGTTAATGAGCTGTAAAAGTTGCTTACAAAAATGCACAATTTTCCATTTTTCATTTGATGTTTTCGTTTAAAAAGCTTATTGTTATTTTTGAATTATTTTAAACTGTAGATTCGATGGTTCGGTGCAGTATGATTAGTCTGTTAAATTTTGAGTAGTATTTAGAATAAACAAAATAAAAAAGGTTCATTGTGCTCAGCTTTTATTTCATAATACAACAACAACAACATACAGTCTTCCACATGTATGGAACACTCCTGATGAACACGGGGAATTGACTGTACCGTAATTAAGTGTTCGTTGATTGTAGAGGACTATACATATGTAAACCTCTTTTGCTCAACAATCATTTTCTAGGATTCTGATGTTGGAGAAATCGGATCAGAAAGACTTGGTGCACTTCATTTTCACATTTTAGATAACTGAAAAACAGACACTTTGTTAAATAATTTCATAGGCAGATGTAAAATACGTACTCCTTACAATAAATCAACACTTCATTTCAAATAAACTCATTTTAGACTTTAAAAAATGATCAGATTCCGCGACGAATATTATCGAACTGATGGAGCAAAAAACAACAAATATAGCACTAGCAACTGGTCATAAAACAAACGTTACTACGATGAATATAAAACCTTGATTTAAAATACTTAAAAATACTTAGGAATATTTACAAAAAATATTTAATGAATATCCGAACTTAAGTTTAGAGTGGGTTGCCCCCGGGGGGAATCTCAATCTAAACTTTGCATTTATCGCAATATACTCAAAAAGATCTTAGGGAAGATCCATTAATTATGTCACGCAATTTGGCCAATTTAAACCCCCCCCCCCCTACCCCCTTTGTCACATTTTTTGTATGGACATTATTTTTTTGACGTTGGATAACGTCTTCCGGCAACATACGGGGGTACAAAATTGAAAACAGTCATTTTGGATGCGTTACGAAAAATTAAAAGATTTTGAACGATAATAACTCAACCGTCTCTCGATAGATTTACGAGATAATGGCATCAATCGGTTGCAAATATTTCTAGCAATTTGCTGAATGTTTCAAAACTATTGATTTCATTCTATAAACTATTGAAAAATGGTTAAAAGTAAACCATTGTCTAAAGATGGTGAAAATCGATTGATTTTTTTTATATTCTTATACTTTCTCCAACCGAGACATCAGATGCGAGTATCTGACACCTCTGATATTTTCTGTTCTACTATATAAGCGTCCAACAAGGTCGCCCGTTCCATCATTGTCTATCCGATCGTCGACCCAGCAGCAGAGCAGCAGAGCAGCAGTACCAGAGCAGCGGAAGCAGAGCAACGGCAGCAGAGCAGAGGCAGCAGAGCCTGGGGGCAAAAGGGCAACTACGCCGAGTGCGTTGGTGCCAGTGCTCCGGTATACTGGGCCGCCGTCATGGAATGCCCAGCTGCTGCAGTTCTCAGTCGGTTGTATTCACCGTCTGCTCCGCAAGGGCAACTACGCCGAGCGCGTTGGAAAAATGGCCCTTTTCAGGGCCACAACATTATCAAGAAAGAGTTTAACGATTAATTTTCTAATGCCTTTCCGACACTTGAACATCGAAAGATGAATCTTCGCAGAGCCATAGATTCCATTTTTATTGCATTTCTACAAAACTTATTTCAGAATCGAACTAGTCTTCACAGACTGTGTGAAGAAGAACGATGCATCATCGAGCACAACCCGTTCCGTTCCAAAATCGTCCTCATCACAACCTCCAAAACAACCATCTACCCTCTCGACATCTCGAGTGGATTTCCCGGTTCATCATACCACCTAGCGCTGTTCTACTGATTGGTAATAATATTTACCCGGAGTTCACCGCACTCGTGGTTGAAGCAAAGCGCCCGGCATGCAAACCGCTCATCAAAATCGCCATCGCCATCCGGTACCCATGCTCAGCATAACCATCATTCCAAAAGCACAACCAAAACGGCCCTTTTCAGGGCCACCAATAATTCGACAAAGAGTTAGTTTTGAAGACAATTTCTTTCCAGAATATCACAGTTACACTTAAATTTGGGGTCTATACTGGGGTGTGGGAACGCTGGAAGGGGAGATGCTGTCTGTCTTCGAACTACCAACATCATTCCAAAGCTCCTCCAGGGCGACAGAGTAGAGCAAACCCAACAAGTCAGTTATTAAGGAATATTCCTAAAATATAATATACACAATTAAGTACAACACATAACAGACGTTATCCAACGCCAACCCTGCGGTCGTATCTAGTATACAACCCTTCCAACTTTTTGTATGGCTCGTCGCATTTTCCAAATCCCCCCTCCCTCCTAAAAGTGTGTAATAATTAATGGACGATCCTTACTTAAGATACTTAAGGAATATTTAGCATTAGTTTTTTATCTCCGGTGCTAGACAAATTTCATTTGAGGGGGTTAGAAGGAAAGGGGTGTAAGTGACTATGATCGATTCTCGTCGTCGACTTCCTTTTTTGATAGCCACAGCTTTATAAACAGATTTTGCGCTATTTCTGCCACATCGTTTGATGGCACACGAATCAAGGAATGTGTTTGCAGCTTAATTATTAATGAAAGAGAAAGTCGATGAAGAGAATCGATCAAAGTCACATACACCCCTTTCCTTCTAACCCCCTCAATTTGATTGTATACCCGATGACGTCTGGCATTTTTTTTATGTGAGAAAACGTTTAGAAAAATCAACAATTTTATCTTATTTTAATGTAGAAAATGAGGGGAGAAACCCATTTTGATTCAAGGAAGGTCGTTACCATGCCGATTCACCCTTCGTTCAATGGGGAGAAGAAAGAACTGTCTGGGAAGTTAATGTGGATGAAAGTCCATTAAAATCACCATGCATTGATATTGGTGGATTTTTGTCCATTAGGATCTTGATCGTGTTAGGATAACTTCTGGCATTTTAGGTGATAGAAGCTGAATCAAAAGTTGTGACAGCTTTCTACTCCATCTGCACCGTACTCATGGCATCCGAAATTTCCCGATGTATTTATTTATTCTAGAAGTGGTCCACATTG